GGGCGCTCAGGGCGGAGTCCCATTCACGGACTGAGGCTCGGGGCGCTCCCAGCCGCCGTCTCCCCTGCACAGCCGACTCGCTCGTCTGGAGCGCTAGCTCCGCAGGGAAGTCCAGGCTGGGGCAATGGCCACCAAGACGGCGGGTGGGACCGAGCCTGTGGCCGGGACCCCGTTCCTCCAGCCCAGCCCAGAGACCCCCGAGCGAGAGCGCCAATGCGCAGCGGGGGCGAGCGGGGCCCGGGAGCTCGGGGAAGCTCTGCGTGCTGGGGGTCCCCTCACCTCCCTCGCGCCATCAGCTCCCAGACTCCCTTCTTCCTCCCTCTGCTCACCCCTCTCCCCCCTCTCTGTCGCCTGTCTCTCCCCTTTCCTCCTCTCTACGCAATCCTACGTGATTGAGGTTCGGATGAGAAATTCTCAGAGGCTGAGCTAGGGAACTGCAGCTCGGGTCGGCTCTGACCAGTCCCTCCCCCAAAAGGAAACACCACCTCTGGCCGGTTAAAGGACTCTTGTGGCTCAAAGAAGGGTCTCAGAGTCCACCCTCTCTCGCATAAACTGGAGCATGTCGAATTTTGTGTTTAGGGAGAAGGGCAGTGAGCACTGGATTAAGTCATTGATCTCTTCGGCGGCCCTCAGTTTAGGCCCCACCTTTGGCTCATTCTGGATGAGGGAAAGTGCTCTGACCTTGTGGGAACCCAGATTTCTTGATACCAGCTGGCAAATTCCACATCAGGTTGAGCCCCTAAGTGGAGGAGACAAGTAAGTCTTGGACCAAGAGGATAATCGGGGCTGAGATGAGGTGTGATGTCAGTAGGGACAGTGAACTACCAGCTTTTGAAGAATTCTGTCTCCAGGTGTGCTGCTGGTAATGGCAATTAAGTCTTACAACAAACTCTGCAGAGGAGAGAATGCCATCTATGTTAAAATGCAGCAGGAAAGATTTCAGTCACAAACTAGCAAGAATCACTTTCCATTCCTACTCAAGTCTGGGAGTGGCTATTAGTTATGCTTGTAATCTTTCTTCACCTTCTCTTCAAATCCCCCAACGCCCTGCTCTTTGCAGACGCCTAAGTATCGGTGGCTGCTCAATAAATGATTGCTAATGGGTGATGTGAACGTTGTCCAAGCAGAAACAGGTATATGTTAGATGCACTTTAATCGAGGACAAGGGAAATCCAGGCCCTGGAAATTATGAAAATGGGATGTGGGAACCCAGAAGGCCTCAAGGAATTCTCTAAATGTGGTGACAAATCTGTCAGACTAATATTCACTGGGACAGTGAGGTTGGTGGTCTGTCAGGTTCAGACCTAGCATTGAGTCTAGCAGCCCTTTTGTGTCTGGGTACCTAGAGCTGGCAAATCTGGCAGCTGGGCAAAGCAATCTCAGAGGCTGGCACACAGGGGCTCCTGGGGCAGACAGCTCAGCTCCAAGGAGGATGCAACTGACAAAACATCCCTGGGGAGAAAGGAATCCCCACTGACAGTGGGGCACACACAGATCCCCTGCAGTAGCTCCATGAAGACCAGTGGGCTCCTTCTTGGAATTCTAACTACAGTACTACAGTATACTGCATTAGATGTGAAGGAGGGGAGGATTTGCAGGGGGGGGGGCGCTGTTTACTCTCCAAAAGTGAAGTTGCATACATCTTTTAAAGTGCATCTAGATGGAGAAAGGAATTTGGTTAAAATCAATTGGTGAAACAAATTACAGACTACCAGAGAAATGCCCGCATTCCATAAATAAATATTATCCTTGGCTACTAGAAGCCTTAATATTAAGTGAGACAAGCATAGATTGTTCTGACTGGCTTTGGGGAATCCCTGCCTTTTATAACTCCAATTTCTCATGCAGACCAAGGTCAGCTAAGGAGAGGTATCCAGAGAAATTGGCAAGAGGGTGATGAAGCATTGAAAAAAATCACTACGAAGTTCTGAATGATTTTTATCCTTGAAATGGGGCGGGGGTGGGGAGTGGGCAAACATTCCCATCTACCTCACAGAGCTAAATATGTATACGTCAGCACTTTCAAACTGGAAAATGTGAATGGAGTGAAAGGGATGACAGTATTTATTGTTTTTGAAAGAACATTCCTTTAATTCCCCTGCTTGTTAAAGAAGCAGGATCTCTGGATAGCTCTCAAGAATTTAAATTGCTAACCAGGTTTCCAGGTGTCAGGAGTTTGAGAATTTCATAGATGCATGCATTGTAAATAATGCTAGAAAAGGAAAGTGAACCCCCTCAAAACCCTCTCAATGGTCCCCCAAATTGTAACCCTGTGTCCCTCAAAAGCCCTCAAGAGAAAATGTGTGTTTTCCAAACTTTGAGTGCTTTTTTATTTTTTTTCCTGTAGGTTTGTGGAAAATGACTATATTTTGATGCAGAAAGTAACCAATGTAGCAGCTTAGGGCAGAAGAGGGAGAAGAGATGAAAAAGCAGAAAACAGTTGCTGTTTCAAGTTCTCCTCTCTGTCTTGACATGAGAGCATCAAGGTAGGCATTTAAAGAACAAAACAAAAACAATATATACCAGCTTTCTGAGAGTGACATTACTTCTGCCTTCAGATCTCTATTCAAAGGATGTGGTGTTTTTGGATTCTATCAGACAAAAAAGACTTTGCTTTTTTTCTCACACTACTGAAGCTATTTCCAGACGGCTTTTTGAGCTGCCTATCCCTGTAAGTCATCGTCAGCATCATTTGCTCTAGTCTCCCAGTAAGAAGAGGTAAGTATAGAGCAATCTTAGAAGTATTCTAGCACCAAAGTGTATAGAGATTCAGCAAGAAACAATACAAGCATTAAGCTCTCAATACCTAGAAAATCATCTTTTTCCTACCTGAGTCACTAAATTTTGTTCATCTTCCTCGTGGCTACTACAATTGCTATAAGATCTTTGCATTTGGGGGGGGGTCAAAAATGAAATTAAATCAATGATGATTTAAGTGAAACCACTAGATCACTTCCTTTAAAGGCCAATGAAATAACCATGCCTTGGTTTCCTTTGAACAACTTAAGAATTCCCATATATAATTTTGAAGATGTCATGTGTAGACACAGTTTGAATTCCTTTGGAGAAAGCCGTGAGATGTCTCATGAAAGGAATGCTTACAGTATATCTAGCTTTCTGACCTCCAGACATAGTCTTAACTGTCTCCATGTTAGTTGAATAGTCTCTCCCTTGGTAACAGGACAGACTGCAAAACTCAGGGTTATCCAGTTGATTCCCACTTAGAGTCATCCTGGGGCACAGGATAAAACCGCTCTCTCGGGTTTCTGAGGCTTTACATCTTTAAGGGAATGGAAAGCCACATCTTTTCCCCAGAAGTGGTTGGTAGGTTCAAAATACCCTCCCTGTTCTGTTACAAAGCTCAAAGAAGATGGGAGAGTAAAGTGTGCAAATGAGCCTATTGTCATTAAAGTATCCATTTACATCAGGTGCCCATTATAAAATTCAGGCTTCCCCAAACAGGACAACATACCTTAGGATTCATACACATCATCATTCACTCCTGGACATAATATATTTAATGAAGGCTGGAAATCTACCTGAAATGAATGGTTAACCTTGACAGTGTCATGGCAAACAGAATTTTCATTAGTGGAATATCGTCAAAGTCCTCAACTGTTGGGAACACGAAGGAGCCAAGCTTTTTGCTGCCGGATCAGTGGCTAATTACCCAATACCTAAGGGAAGTTGTGCTTACTTAGTGACTTGTAGTGATCATTTCCCATGGCTTTCACCTGTATTTACCTTGCTTACTTGATACTACCAGGGATTATAAATTTGAAGCCAGGCGTTGGTTCTATAGGAAGTGGGGTGGAGTTGGGGGAGAGAGATAGATGCTAGCCATGCCCGGAAGCAGAACCCTTGATGTGAAAAGAAATGTGAAATTGTCCGCTCTGATTCGTAATTGAGCAAGAGTAAACCTTGCTTATTGGGTCAGCCTTCGCTGTGCCTGATTGTCAGTTGAAGTGGGCTGGAAAAGGAAAAAGGAACAATTACTCTCTAAATATTTGTAAATTCCCCATTACAGAAATTTCCTTTATGGCACTTCACCATGGGATTACATGTTCTATGTCTGTCTGCTTTGGGTCATTTCTCAAAGCTGAAAGGAATATAAGATTTAATGCCTCATTATAACACAAAGGAAAACTTAGGTCCTCACTGTTTAAGTAGAGAAACTATCAATGCTTTGAAGAGTATCTATGTTGATAATAAATATAACTAATGTGTACCACATTCTAAATTCCCTGAACTGTTCTAAGGAATTACAAGTATTG